CCGTCTGGCCTTGGGTCGAGGCCCCAGCTCCCCCTCTCCCAGGGAGGCCTTCTGGCATCGCCTTCCCCCTCTCCCCCTTGGCTCGAGCCCTGGGTCGAGGCCCCAGCCCCCCCTGGCCCTGGAGCACCAGCCACCCTGGCCCCGGAGCCCTCGAGTTGCGTCGTGGTTCGTGGTTCCTGGCGCCCCCACCCCAGCCCCCCTTCTGGCCCCGGGTCGAAGCACCAGCCCCCTTGTGCGTGCTTCGTCCCTGGCCCTGGCCCCCGCCCCAGCCCCCCCTCTGGCCCTGGGTCGGCGCCCCAGCCACCTCCCCCGCGTGTCACCCACACTCTAGGATGCGACGGGAGCCCAGCTGTTCGAAAAAACATACTGGGAGGAGGTCAAGCCCTTTTCCCCACTACCCAGACTTCCTCGTCCTTGTGCTCCTCATCCGCATCCTTCGTCCTTCGTTCGTCCTTCGTTCGTGGTTCGTGCTCCCTCCCCAGCCTCCCTCCGCCCTTCGATACCTGATTGTGCAAGAGCCAGGGCACGCGCGCCACTTGTTTTCATAGGCCCCGAAATATAGTTATCCCAGTGCGACCCTACCGATATATAACAGCAGCAATAGTGGATGCTGTGCTGCGCTATGCTATGCTATGCTCTGCTCTGCTCTGCTCTGCTCAGCTATGCTATGCTATGCTATGCTATGCTATGCTATGCTATGCTGCGCAATGCTATGCTGGGCTAGGCTAGGCTATGCTATGCTATGCTGCGCTATGCTATGCTGCGCTATGTTATGTTATGCTATGCTATGCTATGGTTTTGCTTTGCCTTCGCTTTTGCCTTTGCTTTTGCTCTTGCTTGGTACCCAGGGAGCGCCACTGGGGGAACCGCGCGTTTGCTTTTACCCTTGCTGTTGCTTTTGCTTGGCTCCCAGGGGACCGGGGGAACCGCCCGGGGCGGGTTCCACTGCCCAGCCCCTTTAAGCAATGAAAGTAAGAACCGTTCTAGGCAGAGCCGAGGTAGGGAAAAAAGGCCTCCCGAAGAAACCATCGGAAGTGGTTACACACTCGGTGCCAATTCGTTGATCAGGGAGGCCGCGGAAGCCCCCCCCCTCCAAGTTTGGGGCGTCGCCACGCCGTGCTACGTCAAGCTACGCAACCATGTTCGCCCCTTCCGCGCTTGGGTTGTTGTTCGAAATGCTACTCTCGCCGCAGCGCTGGCCTCATTTTCGGGCTCCCGCTCGTTCCGAATCGTGCTCCCGCGGCAGCGCTGGCCTCATCTCTGCGCTTCCGCTCGTTCCGAATCGTGCTTCCGCTGCAGCGCTGGCGTCAGCGCCATGCCACGGCATGATTTTCGGTCCTTCCAAATAGGCCCCAAAATGTGAAAAATGGCTTCCCGAAGAAACCAGCGGAAGTGATTACACATTCGGTGTCGATTCGTTGAATATTTGGGCCGCAGAAGCCCCCCCCCACTTTGGGGCGTCGCCACGCCATGCTATGTCATGTTACACGTTAATCTTCAACACCATGATATGCCATGCAATGCTATGCCATATTACGACATCCGATTGTGCGAGACAAGAAGAGATCTACGCCATGGTAAGGAATTGGAGGGAGGGATAGGACGTCAGGTATGACGCGAGCGCGCCTAGCTTGCCCTTCCCCCCTCCCCCAGCCCCCCTCATCCTCCTTCCCTCCTCCCCTGTCCCCGTTCCCCCTCCCCCTTCCCATTCCCCATCCCTCTTCCCCTTCCCCCTCCCTCTTTCCCCCCCCCCGCCCCCCCTTCCCTTCCCCCCATTCCCTCCCTCTCGCCTCCCTCCTTGCCCCCTCCCCTTCCCCCCTCGTCCCCGTTGGTTGCGAGACAAGTGTGCAGACAGGGGGGACAGGGCCAGCACTGGACGGTTGGGCTTCTGCAAGGCCGACTGCGAAGTGTATCCTGCAAGCGCCCCCCCCCTCAAGCAAAGCCGAGCTTTTGCGCGGGCGGTGAGGGGGGCAGATTCGCGCGCAGCGCATCCTCTAATCTGAGACAGTATCCTCCTCCTCCTCCTCCTCCTCCTCCTCCTCCTCGTTCCTCCACCTCCTCTTTCCTCCTCCTCCTCACCTCCTCCTCCTCCGCCTCCTCCGCCCTCCTCCTCCTCCTCCTCCTCCTCCTCCTCCTCCTCCTCCTCCTACCTCCGCCTCCCTCTTCCTCCTCCTCCTCTTGCTCCTCCTCCTCCTCCTTCTCCTCCTCCTGCTCCTCCTCCTCCCTCCTCTATTCTACTCCATGTCCCTCTTCCTCCTCATCCTCCTCAAGTATCCCTCCTCCCTCCTTCTCCTCCTCCTCCCTCCCGCCCTACCTCCCTCCCTCCTTCCACTCCTCCCTCCTCCTCCCTCTTCCCCCAGCTTCTCCTCCATCCCTCTTCCTTATACTGTACTCCGCCTCCTCCTCCTCCTCGTGGATCCACCGGATGTGTCGGCAGGGCGGGCTGGGAGTTTCGCCTGAAGTTCCCTCCCCGCTTGCCATCATGAAGCTTGGAGCTTCCAACAGCCAGCTGCACGGACGGAAGGCGGGCAGTTTGCAAGATGTGGCTCCCACCTCCGCACAGCGCGCATTCTAGCCAACTGTTTACAACAAGCTGCACGGATGGAGGGAGGGCGGGTCGTTTGCACCATTTGGCTCTCGCCTCAGCGCAACGCACATTCGTCTCAAAAGCTTTCGACCATTACCTCGACCAAAGACGGGTGGTGTTGAACGCGCGGTAATCGCCAGGACGTCGCGCGCATTCGTCTTAGGCTGTTCCAACAAGTGCCACATGAATGGGGTGCAACGTGCTTTCAACAAGTGGCCCTCGCCTTAGCGTCGCGCGGATTTGTCCTAAAGGCTTCCAAGAGTTACCCACATGGTGTGCGGTTCCAGTGTTTCACAATTGGCCTCTTCCTTGATGTGCCCCCAAGTTTTGCATGCAGAGCGGCCAGAAAGAACTCTGGCACGGATGAAGGCAGGGCCGCTGTTCAAAATGTGGCTCTCGCTTGAGACTTCCTGAAAGGATGTCTCCAGATCTGTACACGTGCGCATCAGCTGAAAGGATGGGGGCTGGGCCTTCTTCAGAACGAGCCTTCTCTGGTCACTTCGCTGAACTTTGTGGTACGGCCTGCTCGCTTTCTTTACGGGCAAAACGATGGAGGGCGGTGGTGGATGGAGGAGGAGGAGGAGGAGGAGGAGGAGGAGGAGGAGGAGGAGGAGGAGGAGGAGTTTGAGAAGGAGGGATGCGCAACATCTGCATGTTGTCTGAACTGTTGGTCCCACGGGCGCTCGCCTACCGAGGGGGCACCTCCTGCGGTGGAGCAGAGGAATACTCACAGGGGACCGGTGCGGAGGGGTGACCCCAGGAGGGGCCGGTGTGCTGCAGCATCGCCGACTCCTCGTGCGGTCCGGGACCTTCTGCTTAGCGTGTCGCGGCGGCGGCCCCGGCAGCACGCTGCGCGGAGGAGGAGGAGGAGGAGGAGGAGGAGGAGGAGGAGGAGGAGGAGGAGAGGAGGAGGAGGAGGACCGGCGCGGCGGGCGGCCGGGAACGGCTCGGGCCGCCGATGCTCGGGGGCCTGGGCGTGGTCGGCGTGTCGCGCCGAAGCGTGGTGGGCCAGAAGCAGCGGCGCACGGCGCGGCACGCCGAGGCACAGGTCCTGCCCGTAAGCTTGCTCTGGTCCTCTTCCCTCCCTCCCTCCCTCTGCTCCTCAGTTCGTCCTCCTCCCTCCTTCTCCTTCTCCTCCTCCTCCCTCCCTCCCTCCCTCCTCCTCTGCCTCCTCCATCCCTCTTCCTCCACCTTCTCCCCCTCCTCTTCCCTCCCTCCCTCCTTCTCCTCGCTCCTCCTTCCCTCCGCGCGCGCGGGGGCTGCACTCCCCCCTCCCGAGCGGCCGCCCGCAAGAGACACGTAGAGCGCGACACGCGCCGTCCGAGACGGCCCGAGAGGGGAACACATACCAGACGACAATGGCCCTGCGACATGCTATGCCCTGCAAGCGGAGGAGGAGGAGAAGGAGGGGGAGGAGGAGGAGGAGGATGAGGGGGAGGAGAAGAGGAGGAGGAGGAGGAGGCGGAGGAGGAGGAGGATGGAGGGCGTGTCGCTCCGCTCCGCGTGGCGGGAGGCTGGGGAAGACTCGGACAGCAGACGCTTGGAGGCCGGGAAGTGGCCAGCGCGTCGCGCCGAAGCGTGGCGGGCCAGGGCTGGCGGAGCGACACGCTGAGCCAAAGCTTCTGACCGCATCTGGGATCAGTGCCTTTCCCCCCCCCATGTGCCAGCCCCCTGGCCGCGGGGGCGGGCCCCCCCCGAGATCCGACGCCACAAACAAGCTGCAGCGTCGCAAGACGTCCCGAGCGCAGCCCTGGACCCCATCTTCCCGCGGCATGTTTCGAGCCGGGTCGGCCAGTGCGGGTCCAGGGGCCCGCAAGTGCAACAGGGCAAGATCGCCCGCGGTAAAAAGGATGTGGCGCCAGAATCTCAGGGGGCCAGAACGGCTCCCCCTTGTCCAGGGGGGCGCGGCGCGAAGGGCGCGCAGCGAATCGCGAGGGCGCGAGGGCGCGAGGCGAGGAGGAGGGGAAGGAGGAGGAGGGGGAGGAGGGGGAGGAGGAGGAGGAGGAGGAGGAGGAGGAGGAGGAGGAGGAGGAGGAGGAGGAGGAGGAGGCGGAGGAGGAGGAAGGAGGGAGGAGGAGGAGGAGGAGGAGGGAGGAGGAGGAGGGGGGGGGAGGAGGGGGAGGAGGACGAGGAAGAGGAGGAGGAAGAAGAGGAAGGGGAGGAGGGAGGAGGAGGAGGAGGAGGAGGAGGAGGAGGAGAGGAGGAGGAGGAGGAGAGGAGGAGGAGGAGGAGGAGGGGGAGGAGGGGAGGAGGAGGAGGAGGAGGGGGAGGGAGGCGAGAGGAGGAGGAGGAGGAGGAGGAGGAGGAGGAGGAGGAGGAGGAGGAGGAGGAGGAGGGGAGGAGGAGGAGGAGGAGGAGGAGGAGGAGGGGGCGCGTCCCTGTTCGTAGCGTCCCCGCTCTGGGCGTCTCGAGCTGTGTGGAGCGGGTGCACGGCCGGGCGGGCGCCGTGCGGGGCGCTCCCGGGCCTTCGAGCCACATATGCCGCGCGAGGCCCGCTGGAGGCGCAGGGCCTCTCCCCCTCCCTCTCGCGCCTCCTCCCACCACAACATCTGCTCCTGCTGCCTCCCCCCCTCCCCCCTCCCTCCTCCCTCCTCCCTCCTCCTCCCTCCCCCCCTCTTCCCTCCTCTCACCTCCCTCTTCCCTCCTCCCACCTCGCTCTGCCCTCCTCCCACCTCCTGCTTCCCTCTACAGTCCTCCGTCCTCTTCCCCTTCTTAATATGATTAAACTACAGTTATCATCAGCATCGTTATTATTAATAGTGTTGGGCTACTGTTACATTATTATAGTACCAATAATATGTTTAGCAATACTATCCGTATTAGAGTGTATCTTCTTCTTGATCACCATCATCGTCACCATGACCATCACCAACACCATCGTGATCATCGCCATCAGAACCTTCAGATTCAATCATCACCCGCATCGTCATTACTACAATCAGCATCAGCATCAGCATCAGGATCAGCATGAACATCATAATCAGCATCTGCATCTGCATCTGCATCAGCATCAGCAACATCATCATCAGCATCAGCATCAGCAACATCATCAGCATCAGCATCAGGATCATCGTCAGCATCATCATCATCATCAGCAGCAGCAGCATCATCATCATTGTCATCGTCAGCATCATCACCATCGTAATCCTCATAACCATCATCTTCATCAGCAGCAACAGGCATCATCCTCATCACAATCTCCTTCACATATATAACCACTCTCTCCGTCTCTCTCTCTCTCTCTCGTTTTTAACTTTTTTCCTATCTCTCTCTCTCTCTCTCTTCTCCCCCCCTTTCCTCCCTCCCTCTTTTTCCCTCGGTGCCCTTCTGTCCTTCCTCTTGCCCTGCCTCCCTCTCCCCCCTCCCTTCTCCTCGCTCCCAACTCTCTCCCTCCCTCCCTCATCGCCCTTCTCTCCTCCTCCTCCTCCTCCTCCTCCTCTTCCCTGCGCTCCCTTCGTTCCCTCCGTGCAGGCGTGGAGATGGAGGAGGAAGGATGGGCCCACGCCGATTCGGGATCGCACATCACCATCGGCCATGGTGCGCAGGGATTGCGCTGTTCATGGTGGTTCGCTTGCTGGGCGGGTGGGGGAGGTGAGCGTCCCAAGAATCTCCCGAGCGCTCCTCAAAACTCGACTCGTGTGGGTGTAGATGCCAGGGCAATGGCGTTGGTCGTGTCACTGTGGGTGCAATCGAAAATTATGTTGGCTACTGGTGTGTAGATGCGCATGCTTTGATGCGGATATCGTCACAACTCTTGGTACTGAAGATGGCCATGTCACACACTCCATATCCCAAAACAAACGGGCGGCGGGGAAAGTCATAAAAAAACAGTCTGACGTTCCCAACAAAATGGCGGCGGGACAAAACAGCTCATATCAATCAGTACAATCTCCAAATCAAAGATGGCGTCGAATCTTCTTTGAAACAATTTCGATTGATTCTGGCGGGCTGCGCATTGGACTCAGGCGCCTCGGGTGCGCTTCCGGGCGCTCCCGCCCAGCGCTCCCAAGCGCTCCCAAGCGCGGGCGCAGGCGCTCCCACGCGCCTCTTGGCATTCCCAGGCGTTCGCATGCGCTCCCGGGCGCTCCCCCACCAGCACTCGCAAGCGCTCGCAACCGCGCGCAGGCGCTCCCAGGCGCTCGCCATGCACTCTCGGGCGCCTTGTGGGGCATTCGCAAGCGCCCGCGAGCGCGCGCGGGGCTCCCAGGCGCCGGAGCTTGCAAACTCATGTGGAAAAAACAAGCGCGGGACACAGCCAACAAAATCGCGGCGAGCTCGCCGGCAAAAATCAATCCATCCAAAATGCTGGCGCTGGGGGGGGCGAGGGAGCCAATGCAGTACTGCAGTGAGCACCGAAGAAATCTGGGGCGATATGGCCGTTACGATGCAACGTGATTTGCGGTGGCGACGATGCCGAGGCAGATCTTAGCCAAGATTTCCACGACGAGAAGGACGTATTTGTGGAGAACGTCCTTGGGAATTTGGAGCAGCAGGCGCCTGGGTTCACAGTGAAGGGGCGGTGGTTGCGGGGAGTGATAAGGCAGAGGAGATCAAGAGCACGAAATGCGATTTAGGGTGGGAAATCAACGCGATCGAATTGCCCATCGGGGTGACATTGGTCCCGCATACCTGGCTGTCTTCGCCGTCGCAAAACGTGAAGATATCCGCATTGACATATCGCGGGGTTCATACTATGCCATGCTGACAAGATATGGGGCACCTTAGACGGAACAATATGGGGCGTCCGCCGGATCTGCTCATGGCCTCGACCCCTCGGCGGAAAACCCGAATCATACAACACAAGAGAACAAAATACTAGCGGGAGCATCCATGTGTGCGTGCGTGTGTGAAACCTTGGTGATTCAGTGGCCGCCAATTCGCACCAGACTGCTCGCGCTTCAATTTACCTCGAGTTGAGTTGTCTCCTTGGTTTTCTGGCCGCTGCGCGCTTCGCTTGGATTTGCAGCTTTTCCTTCACACCACCCATCGCTGCATTTGACAGTATGCACTCTCTGTGCACTGTGACTTCGACAATGCTCGATCACAATTGGCACTTCCATCTGCCATCCGCGCCTGAGGATCCTCTGCACCGCCTACTTAAAAGTGCGTGTGTGAAAAGGATATGAACAACCAAGTATGCAGAATCACATGGCATAGCTGAATCTGTTTTCCTTAGGCAGGCAGGAGGGCATGACCATAACGCTTCGTCAGAGCTTCGACATTTACAAGCCCGACGTTGCTCACCAGCTGCCCTGTTAACACCAACCTGCGGCAACCTCACGCAAGCCTGTGCTGCCAGCGTGCTGCTCATGTACGGTACAGCAGACTCATGCGAGCCCAAGCCAGCCCCAATCAAAATGTCTACTGGACACGTCCCCCGGCTTCGTCTTTGGACGCGGTCAGCTCAGCAGCCCGACGCGGCGCCTCTCTCTTGATTGCGGAATGCGCCGTCCTCGCCACGCTCCGCAACGCGCGTTTGCACGAATGTTTGGACTTTTCTGGTCCATTCCGCCCAGGCAGCGAAGGCCACGCAAAACCAAGCGGAACTTGAGGCCAATTGCCGACGGAAGTGGGGGTGACAACTTGCCCATCTTGTACTGCCTTGCCCCCGCGGACCTCACGCAGGCTCCCGGGGACGGGAAACGTCTTCGTTCTCTGGAGCCGAAGCCTAGGCGCGAGAAATCAGCAACGGGTCCGTCCGCACTTCTGCAGAGCCGATAGTGCGAGAGAGAGAGAGAGCGAGAACAACAACAAAAAAGAGGAGAGAGGGAGAAAGAGAGAGAGAGAGATAGAGAGAGCTGTGGCCGGCTGGGAGCGATCCCTCAGGGCAGGGTCGACCACAAGAGCAATGTGATTATTCCCTGTCCTGGGGCACTGGCATCCTCGAAAATCTTCCACGCGCTCCTGGATTCCCAGGCGAAGCGGGAAAAAGGCAGACGAGGAGAGACAGGGTAGCGGGGATAGGAGGGGGAGCGGAAAGCGAGCGAGCGAGGCGGGAAAACAACAGCAAACCGTTTCATCTCCCCCTCGTCCTAGTGCTCCTCCTCCTCCTCCTCCGTTTCTTTCTACCCGTCTTCCGTCTACTCCCCCTTGTTCACCACTTTGTGCTCCTGCTCCTCTTTATTTTCAGGTGCACCATCACGCAAGGCAGGAAGAGGGATCTGCTGCTCCTCGAGAGGGCTATCCCAATCGCACACACCACAGTCAAATATTCGAGGGCGAGACAACACAACAGGCCAACTCAACAGGCTGTCCTGCGAGCGTGGGCGACACTCCGCCGACGGATGCCGCCCGCACGGCACTGAAAACAAGAACCTGCGATGGCCCCGGATTCGGGTCACCGGGGGAAAGGACGGATAAAGGGAAACATACAAGCAGGCTGGTATTAGGCCGCCTGCCAGACTCACACCACTCTGGCAGCCGGCTGAGACGGGGAGGAGAGGGATGAGGGCAGGGATCAGCCAGGCAAGCCAGCAAAGGCTCAAGATCCTTCCAGCCTCAGAGGATCTAGAACCAAACATGCTGAACTGCGTGCAGGAGCGCCCCAACAGAGTGAGACAGGTAAGGTAAAACGTTGCAGCCCAATGGCAACTGAGAGACCGAGTAGTGGATTAGCACACGGCCATGCCGTGTGGAGGCGGCAAGCCAAGGAACGCAGCGCGGGCGAATAGCGGCTTCCTGGAAGGAGCTGCCGACAACAAGACCGGGCGGCAAGACAGTGTGTGTTCCTGCTCCTCCTGCTCCTCACTCACCTCCTCCACCTCCTGTTCTGTAAGAGCCTGAGGTGCAATCCTCTGGCCGTGCCTGCCATGCCCCATGGCCGATCAACGGGCCTGATCGGCCTGCGCCCCTCTAAGTTCCACGCACGACCGCCGATGATCATGTCCATGTCTTCACACTTTGATGTCTCTCGCCCCCGAAGCCCCCTCCTACTGCAAATGCTCCCCCCTTCTCACTCCGAACCTCCCTTTCCATTCCCGTTCCCTCTCCGTTTCCTCTTCCTCCTGCTCCTCCTCCTCCTCCTCCTCGGACCCCCTCCAATCCCTCCTCTCGACCCCCCCTCTGCCCCCCTTCCTCATCTTTCCGCCCTGCTTCCCTCGCTTTTCCAGCCTCAATCGCCCAATCCCCCTCCCCTTCTTCTGCAGCCTCCCCTCCAAGCTCCAGCCATGTAGCCCTCCCCTCTTCCTGCGCTTATCCTGGGCGGAGGGCCCCGTCTGGCACCTGTGGCTGGATCTCCTTCATGGCTGCGTCCTTCGCCCCGAGCCCGGAGAAATACACCAACAGCGGCAGCGGTCCCACCTCAAAAGGTAGTCTCGTCCGCTCTCTCCTCGTCCTCCTCCTTCCTACCCTTTCTCCTCCTCCTGATCCACCATCCCTTTTCCTTTGCAAGTAACTCCCCCTGTCGCGCCGCAGACGTGTCGGTAGGGCGGGCTGGGCGTTTCGCCTAAGACTTCCCCGCAATGTGTGATCCAGGA